ACCATTTTTTATTTCTATTTAGCATTAAAAAGTTTGGAAGAAAATATACTAAAGTGTTAATATATTCTATGACTCCATGGGTTGTAGGAATATAAGTGAATTTTATTTTCTTCTTTATGATTATATGTATTTTCTAACTTTCTATGATGACTATTACTACTAGTATAATTAAAAACAACAATTTATAACAGAGTAATCTCTCCAGTGTAGACCCAGTGACTTCAATTAGTCACCTAAAACAGCTGATTTTAGAGAGATGGGTCAGGCTCCCATCTGGCTTCTTGATTCTGGAAGATTCTAATGGAGCCTGCCAGTTGCTTCCCATTCCTTGCCCTCCATTTTTAAAAAAACCATGTATTTTCATGTGCTATATATGTTGATTTTCATAAAAACCCTATGAGTTAGGCATTTTTCTCCCCATTGTATTATTTTGGGGGGAGAAAACTAAGGTTGACTTGCTCAAGATCGTGTGGCAGGATCGGAGTCAGCACTCGAATCCACAGCCCTGATTCAGACACTACGCTTTCAGCACCACCACGGTGGGGGACCTACTATGTTGCCCTAGATCTGGAAAGTGTTTTCTGGTTCTGAGAGTACAGCTTCCTGAGAGTCGCCATGCCTCACTGGAGCATGAGGACCACCGCAGACGTACGTCCGCAGATGGATTCAATGCTGGAACAGGGAATCACACAGCCAGGCCTGAGCCAATGCTTTCTCCAGGCTTTCTCTCCTGTCCTCCCTTTGTGAATTTCAGTGTCCCCCTTGTGGTCACCGCCCCATGAAGCTTAGTGCCCCGGCTCCTGACCCTAGGCTAGGTCACACCCTCACTACACCAATATTCAAAGTTTACCTGTTCTGGTTCTCATTTACTTTGAAGTCTTTGATAGTCTCTGATCTGTGATGAATTCTTTAGGGTGGGTGGGAGAAATTTTCAATTAAAGAAAGGAGGAATCCTGGAGATGATAAAGAAGTGGAAGCGCTGATCAGAAAATAATAATTTCTGTGAACAGAGATCTTTTTTTTTTTTTGGCAGAATGGCTTTTCTGCTACGTACTTAATACTACGGCAGAGTCGATCACTAACAATATGTTAATGACTTTCTCCTTCATCTCTATTCTGTTCAGTAAGTAATTAAAATATCCGAAGACCAATAGGTATTTCATAGAATAAATATTTTGATCTCACTTTGTCTGGATTGATAGTGGAATAAAGTAAAAGAGAAAGTATAACAGCTTTGGAGAAAACGAATTGAAGTTTAAAGCTCAGCTTTGTTGCTTTGATGAGTCATTGAATCTCAAGTCTCAATTTTCTCATTTATAAACTGGAAATAATACTTCCTAACTTGTCATGACTAAATGTATGAACCCCTCATCCCCTCAGTGGTGTACTGACTCGACTTACCCTGAGTCATGAGAGCCAGTTGTTAAACTTCTGAGCGGGGTGTTAAATAGCCACTATTAAAAATTAAATTATATAAACATATAATTAAAACAAAAGTATGACTCAAAACTCATCGCATTCTAATTATTTTACTATGTTTAACAATTACCTTTGTTCACGTGGCTATTTACGTCTATCGTCTCTGTACGGTGGAAATAGTCGTATTGGGCCCTCGTCCGTCTCTTCCAACTTCATGTTAAGTGACATCATGTTGATAGTTTAAATTTGGCCATGAGAATACTTACGCCATGGAAATGAGCAAAGTCTATAAATCAGGACTTGATTTATTGCTTTATTGATTGGCTAAGGCAGGGTTTCTCAACCTCAGTACTATTAGCATTTAGGGCTGGATATGTTGTGTGGGGAGGGAGTGCTGTGCATTGTGGGATGTTTAGCCCATCCTGGCCCCTACCTACTATATGCCAGTAGCATCCCCTCCAAGCTGTGACAACCACAACTCTTTCCAGATATTGCCAAATATTCCTTGGTGGGCAAATTTTCCCCTTCTCCACACTGAGAACCACTGGCATAAGGGATGGAAAACTAAGGCTGGCAGACAAAATTTGGCCATAGATGTTGTTGTACAGCCTGCAGTCTAAGAAGAGGTTTTAGATACTTAAAAGTTTGTAAAATATGACAGAGACTTCTTGTGGCCCTCACAGCCTAAAATTTAATTTACTTTTGGGCTTATTAGAGAAAAAGTTTGCTGACCTCTGGTCTAAGTGATTGAGGAAATGTTAATAGTGCAGGTTGAACTTAAAAGTGTGTCATGTTAGTAGCTGTTACATTGTGCAGATCACCAAAAACGATTGAAGAAAAGTCCGCCAATATTCAAAAACATTATTTGATTCAGCAAAGAAGCTTCTCGTGTCATTGATGAATGAATGAATTTCCAACACATGTAATGTCGGAGCTGAAAGAGGGTTCAGTTTAGTGAATATAGTTTGTACGCAAGTAACAGTTTAACGGTAGATCCCATGTGATTTCATGATCATAAATATATTGGGAAAAGAATTGGTGGACTAGGATGCATTTCCATTTGTCAAATCATGGTAAAACCGACACCATAAGTTGGTTACCAACGCAAAGAGTTCAGCAATGAAAGAATTCTGTGAGAATCAATTGGCTATGTGGAATTTACAAAAATATGCACAATTGTATATTTTATTATTTGTAAAACATGAGTTACACATCTGTTATCTCAGAAGAATTTATAATAAACATGTATGTGTGTGTGTGTGTGTGTGTTTCTGTACCCCCCTCTCTGACAGCTCGTTGTTAAACATTTCCCAGCACACCCCTGCCCCCACCTATCCTACTCCTTCTTGCCTCCTTCTCACTCTTAGTTGGAAAACACTGGTCTTCTCTCGACTTCACGGGATTCTCCAAGCTACCTCCTGCCTCAGAGCCTTTGCTGCTGCCTTTTCCTGACCCTGAAAGACTCTCTTTTCTCGTCCTCATTTCCTTTCATTCCCAACACACCTGCTATCCTTCATATCTAGGCTATTTAGGCAAATGTGATAGTGTGAAATGCCCGGGTGGGGGGTGGAATAACATCTAGCGCTTATATAAGATTTCTGTGTATCAAATAGTCTGTATGTACAGCACTTCAGATATATTAATTCACTTAATCCTTGCATTAACACCATGAAATGGGTAGTAAGTCCATTTCCATTTTACAGATGAGGAAACCGAGATATAGAGATGTTCACTCAGAGCCTAGAATCACAAAGCTTACAAGTGGCAGAGCTGGGATTTGAACCCAGGCAAAAGGCTCCAGAGTCTGTGCTGTCAACCACCAACTTCCACTGCTGCTGGAGAGAATGAAATCACAACACAAGCTCTTATGATCCAAGAAGAATCGGGAAGAGAGTCCTGCAGGAGTCCCTCAAGCAGCCCAGAGCTGCAGAGCATGGCGAGTATCATTGCAAAGACTCTTCAAATGGATGAGGGAGAATTTATAGGACTGGGTTCCCCCTCTTCCTTGTGATAAAGAGTGTGTAACGGGTTGTGGTATGGAGGAACCTGTAGTGGTATGGAGTATAAGCACGTAGGGCCTACGTGTGCTATTTAAAAAGAGCAGTAAAATATAGCATTCCTAATATTCGAGTGTGGCCTTCCACTAATTCACTTTACAATGGAGAACATCGTGCGTATGAACACATACACACACATACATACACACACATACATCCCCATGTGTGTACACAGGCATTTTACTTTGGACACACATGGTGATGTATGTGTGTGTACACACATGGGGATGTATGTGTGTGTGTAAAAATTATTCTTCACTCAGCTCATTTATCGATTCAGTGAACATATGGTTTGCAACATCTTTTCCATGAGAGACACCATGCTCGGCCTGCAGATGGATACAAAGGAGAGTCTGCTGCCGTTTTTGTCCTCTAGAAATTTTGTCCTTGTAACTATAACATACAAGGTCAGAGGAATTAAGGGACAGTGAGAGAAATAAAAAGTGAGGGAAGTTTAGTGGGGAAAATAGAGGCGGAGGAGGAATAGGGTTGGCTTCGGGGAAAGCTGGGCATTTGTGATGGGCCTGGAAGCCACGTGGCTATGAAAGGAAGGTAGTTCAGGTAAAAGAAAGAGCTTGTGCAAAGGCATGAAGGCAGGAGAGCTCGGCACAGGTGGGCAAGAGGTTTGGACCTCTGAAGAGATGGATGTCAGAAAATGCTAGAAAGATAAATTAGGGCTAGATCGACAGGGTATAGAGGGGGTTCTCAGGCCATACATAGCATTTCATGTTTATTTTTTTGGCATTGGGAGCAGTTTGGGGATTTTTTATTAGGAGAACATCTAGCAAGGTGTCGGGTGTATAGCTGTAGACAATCAACCAATATTTGTTCAACTGATAAAGGAAAAATAATAATGGCTAAAATGTATTGGGTGCTCGCTATACGCAAGGCACTTTTCTAGATATTTTACACATTTTTAACTACATATGTAATTCTCATTGCAGCCCATGAGACAGTTACTCCATCTTACAGACAAGGAAACTGAGACTCAGGCTAAGTATTTTGCTGTAGGTCGTGACAAATGAGGAGGCATCTGACCAGAGCCCACACTTTGCACCGCTATGCAATTTAGAAAAGAGGAAAAAAAAAAAACCCCAAAGACACAAGAGAAAAGAGTTATAGGGCCAGAGTTTTTCTTCAGAAAGGAAGCTGTGGTAGGCCTAAATTAGCAGAAGACCAGGGTGGGTTGGAAGTAAGAGGCATTCCAAAGATAGAATCCACACGAGTCCGTAACTACTTGATACAGGAGGCCTGGGAGAGCAAAGGGTCAAGAAGGCTCAGAGTTTCTAGCTTCATTTCCTGGGAGTGGTGGAACTCTTAAAAGAAATTGGACACAGAGAGGGAGGATGACAGTCTACTTTTAGGTGATGTGTGCCAAAATCTGGGTAGTCAGAACTCTAAAAAGCAGCCTGAGGATAAATGTTTTAAAAGGCGAGCTTCGGGGCTCCCTGGCTTTGTCACATTCCCCACTCTGGGGCTCTGGGAGTCTGTCCTGGGAACCTCAAGGCTCTCCCAAGGCTCTTCTCCATGTTTATATCTTTTAGCAGGGAAAGGATTGTTAATGACTAATCTGTGTCTGTGAGGCACAGAGCCAAGGAAGAGATGCTGCCGCCGGGCTGGAGGGCCGCCTGTGATCATCCACGGCTTTAGCTAGAACTCTGTCCTCCTCCTCACCCCATGGTCTCCTGTATTCATCCCAACTCAAACTCGGATTCTGAGCATTTGTAGAAAAATTGCTGGCATTTGGAGAGGAAGACTGGACTCAACACCCTCCCAGGGCTTTGAAAGTTTATCTCCAACCTAAGACAATCCGAGTGAGTATCTGATTCCCCTGGGAGTGGAGTGTCTAGCTCAAGGCAACAGAGAGGCAAAGTCATCATTTAAAGTTTCTCTTTAACATTATGAAGTTGGGTAGATGAATAAATTCTAAATTAGTAGTGTTTGATATAAAATCCTGAAAATTAAAAAAAAAAAAAGAAACTTAAAAAGTAGCAAAAGTTAGTAGGTCTAACTTACCTTATTGAAAAATCAGTTGCTTACCTTATTGAAAAATTATTGAGGAATAGCTTTTTAACATGGCGGTCACCCGGAAGAATCAGTAGTGACAGCACATTTTGGATACGTGTCTGTTCTGATTCCATAGACAATTTGACTTGTATACTGTGCTGTGTTTTGGTGATTTATCAAATTCAAGTTTGGGAATATTGCTAATGTCAGATGACTTAGGAACTAGGAATAGGACAATGTTTAAGCTTCGCTTAAGTGAAAGTTTTCTTAGAAGACTAGGTTTAAAAAGCTTTCTCTTTCAACTTCTGTTCTAGACTTCTATTGCTTTCCATTTCTTGTATGAATAGCAGATGGAAATATTTTTAAAAGATGGAAAATGTTAGGAAGAACTTTATTATTAAAATTATCCAGGGTCTGAATCTACAGATAAGGCACCTACCTCCTTGTCTGCTGACTGCTATGGTGAATTAGCAACTACGAGATGAGCGTGGGTCATTTCTCTCAATTGAGTTTTTATTTAGAATTGAGGGGCAAGGGTTGGGGGGAATGCACATGACTCACTTGGATTCTTTCTCTGAGAAACGCATCTAGCTATAAAGAATCTGGTATAGCCACTGATGCTAACTTAGAGCTATCTACCTCAGCATTACTGACAAGAAGGATAGAGAAAGATGTTGGGGAGCCATCACTGGGTTTCTAGCTGTGATTTTATAAAATGATAGACATCTTCATCTTTGAGTCAACCCCCGCCGCCCCAATTATGGACCTGTGCCATTTGCACCGTGGACTTTGCTGTTTTGCTGAGAATGTTGCAATATGGCTGATGAAACTCTGAGTTAGCTGATAAAATACTAGCCAGGGATGATTGTCTCTTGTCCTGAGACCCTAAGTCAAGACTTGCAGCAATGCTTTCTACCACACATCTTAGGGAAAGTAATGTAATCCCTGTCCTTCCTCTTATTTACACATCTCCCAAATCTGGCCAATCGTAATGGAACACCCAATAGTTGTGAGGCTCTGAGAACTTGGGGAGGAAAAGAAGAGAAATGTGTGCATGAGTGTGTGTGATGGAGCTAACTCTGATCGAACGTCTGCTAACATGTCACAGGCTTTACCTAAATTGCCTGTTTCCTACTCACAATAATTCTGCATGGAAGTTCTTCTCACGCTCATTGTATAAATGAGGAAACTGAGGCTCAAAGAGGACAAATCACCTGTCCGAGGTCACACAGTTAGGAAGTAGCAGGACCGGAATATGAGGGCAGGTCTTTCTGGCCTCCTTGCTACCCCAGTATTGTTGGAGGCTGGGAAAACTTGAAATATAGAATGATGGGAGAGCAGGTGGATCAGCCTGCAAACATTTGAGTTCGACAGAGGTGATTTGTTAAGCCCCGGTACAATTGTGAAGATTTATAAAACGTTGTAGGGCATTTTCTAATGACTGTACCAGGAGCAGAGGAAGTGGAAAGTTTTCAGCACTATTTGCTTTAACCCAGAGGTCAGGCTAGGAGAGCTGATTGGAGACTTCAGTTATCAGCGTCTTAATTAAAGACCGCACGAAGCCGCCATTGCGTTGTGATTAGGGACATCTGGAAGGAGTTCAGCACTCCTGTGGTTCGCAGAGGTTATGGATTATGAGAATGCAAAAGGCTCATGTCATTAAGTGGCCAGATAAAGGAAAAAAATGAAGATATCTGTTCTTTTCTCCATAGGGAGTGTTTTCCTCTTATTTTGTTCACAGTCTTGTTTTTCTCTTAAATTGTAGCAACATAGATCATGAAGAGGATAAAATAAATAGGAACAATTTTCTTCTTTCCAGGTATTTTTTTTTTAGTTGTTCTATATTTTCTATCAGCGGAGATGTAGCTACAAGGCAATGCTGTATGCGTGTCCTTAGTCACTAAGCTGCACCAGGAAGCAAAAATCGTCATTATGTAAGAATATCCACCCTTCCCTCTTCTCTCCTACCTCCCTCTTCTCTCTTTAATCCCCTGATCCCTGAGCCCATCCACAGTGAATTATTTTCTCACTCAGTTTGCCCCTTTCCATTTTTGGCAATGAAGCAATGTCTGCTATTCTCATTTTCTCTCCTCTTTGTAAATTTGTGTCAGTACAATGCTAATATATCGCAACTCAATTACGATGTGAAATATTGCCCAGGAAAAAATACTTGCCTAGGGCAAGAGAGCATCAGCCTTGGGCAATATTTTGTTAGGTCTAAGACTTATAACAGAGTTCTGGTGACTAAAATTAATATGTATGAGCATAAGATAGATTTGTATTAATCTTCATTTTTTCAGATAAAATCCTAATAGAACTTTGAAATTTTGGTTCCCATTTTAAATAGATTTAGAACGCCTTTTTCTGGTCCCAGTGATCCTGGGATAACTTGGATCTTTTATACTTTAATTAAAGTCACTAGTTCAAAGAAAAGGAGAAACAACATAGCTTTGCAGTTTCAAGTCCTAGCAAATGTATTTAACATGGTCATCTGGAAGATATGGTAAATAAGTTATTTGTCCTTGGAAAAGATAGTCTCGTTGGGGGATGTTCATGGTTAGAGAAAAGCCCACTATTCTGACGATCTGATCTTCCCTAGCCAAGCAGAGAAAGCCACCTGCTGCCATTTCCTAGAGAACTTCAGAAGTGCTCGATGTAGATGCTGAGTCTGTACCAGCCTGTCACTTAAGGAACGTAAGCTGGTTGTGGGCCAGGTTTAAGAGGGCAGGACAGGCATGACATTCCACAGTGATTGTGTGTGGGAATCTTTGTTCTCCTGGAGTCCAGGCTCTGAATTTGAGGCCATGATTGGACTTCAAGGGACCAGGAACCCTTTGAGACTACATCAAAAATGCATGCATTTTACAGAGGAATTTTAGAGCGTGAAACTATTTTGTATAATACTATAATATAGTGTATAATTTTAGAGCGTGAAACTATTTTGTATAATACTATAATATAGTGGACATGTCACTATACATTTGTCAAAACCCATAGAATATACAACATCAAGAGTGAACTCTGATGTAGACTGTGGACTTTGGGTGATAATAACGTGTCAATGTAGGTTCATCAGCTGTAACAAATAGACAGCTCTGGTGGCTGTGAATAGTGGGGAGGTTGTACATTTGTGGGGACGGGAGGTATAAACAACAACCCTTTCCCCCAGGGAATTTAAATGTGCCTGCTTGCAACATCTAACTGTATGACTGGCCAAATGGAAAATGGGGAATAATATCCTCAGCGCATTCATCTCATAAAAAAATTGTAAAAAAATTAGACTTAGAACTTTGTATGTTTATTGGCCACTTGTGCTTCCCTTTTGGTAAATTTCCTCTTTATATCCTTTGCTAATTTCTGCCCTGGATTGCTTATTCTTTCTGTTTTTATTTGAAGAAGTTATTTATACATTGTTTGTACTAATTTTTTGGCTGTTATTTATGTTGTAAACATTTCCTCCCAGTTTGTTTCATATATTTAGCTTTGTTTATGGTATCTTGATTTCTGTCTTCTTGATTTTAATATAGTCAGATTTATTCTTTTTCTATTTATTTCTTGTTTAATAAGTCCTTCTCGATCCCTATGTTTACAAAGATCATAAATGCATTTCCCAATATTTATCCCAATAATTTCATAATTTCAAAGTTTTTAATCCACCTAAGACTTATTTTCAAGAATGATGAAAGATAGAAATCTTTTTCCCCTCCAAATAGCCAATTTTTCTAACACTGTTTTCTTTCTCCCTCCACTGATTTGAGCAGAATCCAGTAGCTACAGCATAGAGAACAACTTATGATTGCTCAGAACACAGCCTACAGTTCCCCCTCCATGTAGCCATCCCCACTGCATGACTTTTGCCTGATCTAATGCCTCTTCCTTCAACATTAAATTCAAGAATCA